AGAAAGTGATAGACGCAGACACATAGACAGTCGAGCCTTCTCTGCGTCTCTCACTCTCTCCTCGCCAACTTCAATTAGCTGCAACTCGCTTCAAAATTAAACTAGAATCCTGTTTTTTGGGCTATTAGAAAATCAGGAGAAAGAGAGAGCAAGACACAGAGAGGCTCGACTGTCTGGGCGCCTGCGTCTCTCATTATCTCACAAATCACTTCGAATAATCCTAGTTTCCTTTAAAATTGAGCTAGAAACCAGGTTTTCGAAGTATTTTGAAGTCAGAATTCAAATAGTGAGAGGTGCAGATGAACAGGAGGTCTAGCTTCTCTGCGTCTCTTCTTTTTCACCGCCTCTGTCTTCATGACTGTAACTCGCTTCAAAATCGAGCTAGAAAACTGATTTTTGGACGATTTTGACGAATAAAAAGCGAGTTTCCGCCTGAACCTATCGATCGATGAAAATCCTTGAAAATTTGAAAAATCTAAGCAATAAAAAGTTCGAGCATCTTGAATTTCTCATAAACTACTCTAATACCTCTCCAAGAACATGCAAAAATCATGTTTTTGGCTCAGATTTGAAAAGAGTTACGTCATTCTGATGTCTGAGGCGAGATTGTGAGAGACGCAGACACCCAAAGCATTCTAGCTTCTCTGCGTCTCTCACTATATCACCTTCAACTTCAAATTGAGCTAGAGACTTAATTTCTGAACCCTTTTGACCCCGAAAAACTCACTGGAAAGCACTCTTCAATTGTTTTCTTCCATCAGCAGTCTTCAAAAGCGATGCAACCAAATTGAATCCCTGAGTGACACTGTCAGCACAGGCAGTCGAGTTTCTGGTGATGGAATTTTGAACGACCTCCAAATACTCCTTGAAGTCAACCTCAGCCTGAACTGGCCCACTGGATCCAACGGCAGCATAGACCAATTCTGGATGCTTGGCACGAGTCCAGGCGGCCAAGGCTCCGGAATAGGATCCTCCGAAGGTGACCCACTTGGCGTTGGCCAACATTGGATACTTGATCTTCATGGCGGTGATGAAGGCGGCGGCGTCTTCGATGGCTTGAGCAGAGGAGAGGTATTTCAGGTTGGAGACGGACATGTCGCTGGAACTTTTTTGATAAGGAAGGGAAGCCACCAGTAATCTTTATGTCTTTTCCTCTTTGTCGCTGCTCTGGCTGGTGTGGTGTAGTGGCTAACGCTCTTGTTTCAGAAAATTTCAGCGCGGGTTCGATTCCACCTGGCGCCTAGTCATTTTTTTTCTCTTTTACTTTTCTCCCCTAGCACCTAGATACCCACCTAGTTGGCTTAGTCTCTCCATAGAATCTGTGCTCAATATCGAACACCCAGGCGTTCTGTTTGGCGGCCAAGTTGGTGATCTCAAGTCCTGGATAGGAGACCCAGTAGCTGGACTCTGGTCCCTCTCCTCCGAGCATCAGGAATGCTGGTCCACCGTCCTTGTACCACTGGTTGTTATGGTAGTATCTTTGTTGGAAAGTCTTTCCGTTGGATGAGTCGAAATGGTCCAAGGTTTGGGTGAAGGTGGAGGAGACGACGGAGTCAAAATTGATGAGATGGGAGACGGTGGACATCTGGAAATTCGGGTTTATGCAGACGTAGCATCGAATTTTACGACAATCTTTGAATCTAGATCGTCGTCAAGTTTGACGCCAAGTACGCATATTCTTGATTTTTACGGAAAATTGCAGAGAAAGTCCCCCCTTGACCCTTTCATTTTGGTGCCGATTTTCTCCCGGCTCCCATGGCCTACAGTACCCCTCCCGTTCCCAGAGCTCTCTCCCCTTACCACTAAATTAATACTCCATAAAAAACCATATAAAATCTCGTTTCCCATTCCACTCGAGATACGAAAAAAAAAAAGAATTTAGGGGGTGAGAGTGCCCTTAGTTTTGAAGTTTACCGCACTCCCTCTCCCCACTCTATTCTATTCGTTTTTTAATGGAGTTCTAACAGACTGGTCTTTTTTTAATCGAAATGTTATGGGAATCTCAAACAGGTTACGGTAGAAGTTCGGGATTTGAAAATGTCATGGGACCCTTTTCTTAGACCCCTGTCTATATTTGGGTCCCATTGCGCCACCAGACTGTTACGTAACCAAAAGGAAAACTTGAGAAGAATTCCGAAAAAAGTCATGACGTCCTTCTGGGTGGTAAGGTTATTGTGACGCAATTAAGGTGATGCAAGAAAAATTGAAAAAAAAAAGAGGAAATGGAAAATCTAAGGAGTACGGTAGCCATGGGAACTAGGTCGGAAATTGAAGACTTACCGGTGGCGTCTTCTTCATTCCACCACGTGGACGTCCACGGATCATGTTACGGCGGACACGTGGCTCCTCCTGGGTGGCTGGGGCGGCGAAGGCCTGGGCGAGCACGCATGCTGAAAATAAATTGTACAGTAACATTTGGATACAGTAGCCTAACGACACTATTGGGTGCCCTGAAGTGATGCTTCGACCCAAAAAAAGCTACAGTAACCCTGGTCTGTCCTCTTCCATAACAGATGGTCTTAGGTCCCCAAGATCAAAAGTTCATCTGAAACCGAGTCCCTGCAACAACCGCCAGAATTCTCGAGAATTCAATTTTCCCGCTCAAAATCAAAAACACCTACAGTAGCCCATTCCTACTATACGATATCCAGGTCCCACGCTCAAAATAAAACAGTAACCCTTGACTCACCTGCCAACACGACAGCCAACAGACTCCTCATCTCTCTTCTCGAAGAAATCGAAAAGTGAAATGTAAAACAAGAAACCAATTCACCGCTGATAAGACTCTTTTATACAATTCTCCCTTATCAAATAATTTGTCTCTTGTTTCAAAATTTATCACCGAAATAGATAGGCGGCTCCTTCGCTAATTCCGTTTTCAGTGTGTATGTTCAACTGATAATGATGATTTAATTACGTGGCAGCATCGACAAGAAATACTAAACCATCCCTGACGTATTTGGAGCAACGGTTAGGAAGAGAGGAGAAGGTACAAAACATGATAATGTGACCTGGAAAATTAGAGGAGGTTAGGTAGTTTGACACGAATTGACATGGAAATCAAAGAACCAATGTAGTTATCGTAAGAAGTGGCGACAGGTAATTTTTTTGTAGAGAATTTGAGAACACATCAAACTAGAGAAAATATAGAAAATAGAGAATTCTCTATAAGTAATCGAAAATTACCGATTTTGATGACAAATTACTCACAAAATGCATTTATTTAGTTGTTTATAATCAGCTTCGGTCTTTACCCTTTTTTGGTGCAAGGTATTTCAATGAACTCGGAGCAAAACCGTTTTGTGAAATCCATGAAAAGTACCGACTTTTCAAATCGAAAAACTCAGGATAAAACAATTTTTCGTAGAACGAGTTTGAAAATCGCAACTCACGGTAATAAAGGTGTGTATCTTTAAGCATATCTTGGTCGTCTTTCAAAATATCAAAACGTAGTCAACTAAAAATTTGTTCACTGAAAAGTTTTGAACATCACGTCAGTTGACAATTTTTTGATAGCTTTAGAAGCAATCGAGATATACCGCTCTGAAAATGCAGTACTTGGAGGAGAGCTCAATTCTAGGTTTTAAGAAAACAGTAAGAGAGTTACTGTAGCATTTGTTTCAGTCATTTTCAAAAAAATAATATAATGCCGAGTTAGCATACACCCAAAAGTTAACATCATAACGGCAAACCGCAGACATATTTCGGATCCTCAAATTTTCAGATTTTTTCAGAATCCCCAATTTCAGCTTCTGCCTGTAACTCCTTACATCATCCTACTCAGCCGCATCGTTATTCCAATTTTGCAGACAGACAAAGTGACATAAGAGGAAAAAAGTTTGTTGATTAGAAAGAAAATATAATCCGATTTTCACCTATTTTCTTAGAAAGTTGAAGACTGTTTTTTTGTTCCGCTTTCTTGTTATTTATTGATTAATAGTGCATTTGAAAACGCATTTTTTGCGTTCTGGAAGAAGAAATTCCTTGAACTCGTCCGTCGATTCTTACCAATTCTGACCAATCTAAAGTCAATAAAATTTTGAGAATCACTGCTCAATTGACTTCCAAGAACTTAGACCCTTCTGTATTTCATCTATATATTTACTCATATTTTCCCAATACAGTGTCAGACATTTCAAGTGTCTTTTTCCGAACTTTTCTACACAATTGCTCTTGACTACCTATCGTCTTCTCCTCCTCTCCGTCTTCTTCATTCTTCTTTGGTCAAACACTCGCCGCATCACGCCTCCATTATGAAGAAAAGTGTCGTGTTTAGGAGCATTAAAGATTTTGAAATTTCTCATACTGTTCTTGATTTTTTTTTCATTGAAGAAGGTTTTGAGGTTTGATTCTATAAGATTTGAGTATTATCTAGCGAAAATTCTGCAATTTAGGCCTACTCTATATTTAGAGCAGCATAACTCAGCTGTCTTTAGAGTGAACGAAAAACTTTCAATTAGTAAAATGTGTAAAATGCTTTGCTAAACATTTCACTAGTTGAAAATTTTTTGATTGCTCCAACGGCAATTGAGATATGCTGCTCTAAACATGCAGTGTGTCAAAATTACGGTAACAATCCTCAAGATTTGATTTTTTTTTCAGTTTTCCAATTAGATCGTCATCATTCAGCTGAATTGAATTGTGTTACTGTATAATTTCAAAATTTTTTTCAAATTTACCTATTCAGACCCCTCAGTCCTCATTTCAAACTCCATAGTACCCTTCCTTCTTCTTCCCCATCTCCCCCTTAGTATGTTGTCTCCCAGATTACGCAACACACTTTCGTAATTCTCATTCTAATGAAGGGGGGTCCCCCTTCTATTGTCTACTTTTTTTTGGAAAGGTAAGAAGTTGAGAAGAGGCCACCTGCACAGGAAAAAAAAATTTATTTGCGCAATGGGATATTTTGAGATGAGAAAACGAGAAAAATGGGAGAAATCGTGTAATAGAAAATCGCCAAAAGTTCCTTATTGAAAAAATAAAAAAAAACAAAAAATATTGAGCCCCGGCGAGATTGAACTCGCACCCAATATTTGCAAAACGGCAGTGCTAACCACTGCGCCATGAGGATTACAGAGAAAATAAGGGGAAGAGGGCATTGACATAACTTCTCTGATCCCCATTGGGGCCCCTTTCCTTGGCTGAAATTCGCTAAACGAAGAAGAACTGTAAAGTTTCAAAAAACAGACCCAACCGATGCAATTAATATACAACGGTCTAGACGATTATATTAGGTAACCTGAGATGAAGAAAACGGTCTTCGTCCAGTTTTAATTCGTTTCGTCACGCCACGACGATTAAACTGTATATGGCACTCCTTTCCCTCAGTCAATTATTAGTTTAGTATTATGCAACAAAAGTTTTCGTTATATAGTCTCCTTATGTTTTCTGAATCGAACTGTCGTTTTATCTAGTAAAAGGGCACCGGCTCATTTCTCGATTTTTCTTTTTCGAAACCCCATAAAACGAAATTGTTCTCGAGACCCTAATGGGATTTTTTAGAGACCATGAATTAGGTACCTGGGAACATATTGATGAACTTCTAGAGATGATAGAGAGTACGGTTTTAATAGATTTGTTTCCCGAGGAACAACGAAATTTAGAAGGGAAATAGCAAGATGAGAATCAGGTGATAAATACAGTGACTATCATGAGGTTTTAGGAGTACTATTCTAGTTTGAGGATTCTAGGATTTTGAGGGTTTTCTGAGGCGGTTTGCGTTTTTTTTTAGCTCTGAACCTCTGATAAAAATACAAGTAAGAGAAAATTTGTCGATTTTTTTACTTCAAGACTAATTTAGGGGTTTCTTGAGCTTCTGTATCTATCATAAAGCTTGCAATAAAGAGCTGCATGTTCTCAGCAGTATATCTCGGCTGTCTTCAGAGCTATCAAAAAGTAGTCAACTAGTAAAATGTTTATTGATTTATTTTCAACATTTTATTAGTTGAAAACTTTTTCATAGCTCTGAAGACAACCGAGATATGCTGCTCTGAACATGCTGTATTTTGCTATAGCAGGATTTGATGTACTGGTTGCTTACGACATTCGTTAAAGCCAAAACCTATAAATCCCCTCCCCCTCCCCCAAATAATTTCTTCTATTTCTTGTACCTAAAAAAATTCAAATCTCCTCAGAACCTTCCCATTGTCCTACCATGTCGTCGGCAACTTTTGTGGGGACTTCTTCTTTTCCCCTTTATGAACAAAAAGAATCAACATCCGGTTGACCTCATAACACATCTCATAGCCTGCTAACATATTACAAATGGTAATTATACACTTTTACAATACTGTCTCCTTCTATACCTTCATGCATAATTATCTCGTGTCTCCTCGTTTTTTTGAAGATGAAGGAGTCTTTTGTTATGAGTGATCAGATACAATGGAGAACCGCTTTAGAAGTTTTTGGGATACGGATTAATGTAAGAGTCCGAAAGTTCAAAATCACTCAGAATAAACTTAAGAGAAGAGAGGAAAACTAATTTCCTTTTTTCACCGTTTTCTAATCATAAATAAGAAGAAGACGGCTGTCAATTGCAGGGGGAATCTCAGAATTAGGAGGAGGAGGAGGAATCTTCTCAAGATAAATAATAAGAAAATGTGGTGGAGCCTTCAAATTCAGAATCATTCTTTTAGATTTTCTATTTTAACCACATAAGAATTTTTAAGACTTTTGCAGAACTAGATCTAACGTTAAATCTATAATAGAGATGCCATTCTCCTTTGAATCTACAGTATCTCGGCTTATAATTTTCTAAGCCAGCTGAAAATAACACTACCATAATCACCGTGTCTAGACGGTTCAGATTAGTATAAACCAGTCGGTGGCGCCGCCTACGGCGGCTCACCTCCTTTTTGTTCGTCGCTGCGCTCCTCAATGGGGGGGGGGGGGTTAATTTGCCACGCTTAAACTGATTTTAGATCATTGGGCAGTGATGCAACCTAAGCCTTCTTCCTGTTCCAAAAATGTTGTTAATTAGAATTCCCTCCAAAAATTTCGATAACTTGAATTCCGTCAAAAATTTTGATAATTTGAATTCCCTCCAAAAATTTTGAAAGTTCGAATTTCCGCCAAAATAATAAAATGTTTTGACGTTTCTGGAAGTTTCTGGAAGTTCTGGAACATTCTAGAAGATTCTGGAAGCTTTGGAAGTTTCTAAAAGTTTCTGGAAGTTTCTAGAAGCTTCTGGAAGTTTCTGGATGTTCTGGAAGCTCTGGATGTTCTGGAAGCTCTGGAAGTTTCCTGAAGTTTCGATAAGCTTCTGGAAGTTTCTGGAAGTTTCTAGAAGTTTCTAGGACGTCTGGAAGCTCTGGAAGGTTCCGGAAGTTTCGAGAAGCTTCTGGAAGTTTCTGGAAGTTTCTAGAAGTTTCTGGAAATTTCTGGAAGTTTCTGGAAGCTCTGGAAGCTCTGGAAGTTTCTGGAAGTTTCTAGAAGTTTCTGGAAGTTTTTGGAAGTTCTGGAAGCTCTGGAAGGTTCCGGAAGTTTCGAGAAGCTTCTGGAAGTTTCTGGAAGTTTCTAGAGGTTCCTAGAAGGTTCTAGAAGTTTCTGGAGGCTCTTGAAGCTCTGAAAGTTTCTGGAAGTTTGTCGAAGTTTCTGGAAGCTCTGGAAGTTTCTGGGTTACTGTAACTACCGTAATCCTACAGTAATCTTCATCATTTTTTGTTTGTGTGTTATTAGGGCCTCATAGTTACTACATGCAAAAATTGGAATAATTCCGTTCATTCCGAACACGTTTTCGAAAAATGAGGTACTGTAGCTACCGTAATCCTACAGTAACCCGAGCTCCAAACGGTATAGACTTGAAGCGCTCGGTGACCCATGACCACATGCTAAATATGGTAGAAAACGATCGAGGGGCTCAAAAGTTATTCAGTGATAAGTGCGGCACAGACACACACACACACAGACGGACAGAGCTTGCCGCTTAGTATATAGAAGAGATACGGATATCTTCTAAGAAAAAAAAAACGTTGTTTAGCTACATTTTCTCTTTTTGACAGTCCCCAATCCCAAATCTAACCATCCTGTTCCTTCCTTCCATGATGCTTCCTTGTAAAACCAAACAATAATTCTTGGTGAGTGAGTCGATTCTCCCCATATTTGTCTAATTGTTCCCCTCATCCATTCCATCCCTCTCAGTTAGCACATCTGCCTTCTCCTCCTCCACAAAAGATAAGTCAATATGTGTGGGGGGAGAAGCATCCTTCCTCCATCTTTTCCATGTCCCAAACAAAATTCTTGCTAATAAACTAGGAAAGGAGTACGGTAGTTTTTAGCTTTTCTGAGATAAAATGAGGGAGAAGGGAGGAGATGAAAGGGATATAGGGGTGTAATTAGAAAAGAGAAAAGAAGGGTAAATGATGATGGATAACTTATTGAATAAGTTATCAAGTTGTTTTTCATCTGCTTCCGCCTTTATGTATTGGTTTTGAGGAGAAGGGTCCTGTGGGTCCTATGGAAAAAATCAGGATCAGGTCAACTTTGAAATATGGAATTTTCAGAAAAAACCTGAATATCCAAAATTTCGAACCATCACAGGGGTAAAACAGATTTTTTGGTCCAGTTTGGTGTTTTTTCCTTAGAATTTATGACAGTTTTAACCTAATTCCTGTTAGTTTTGAAGGATGTTTGACTAGTTTGGTTGGTTTGATGTCCAATCTTTGGAAAACACTGAAAGTATTACAGTGAGAAATTTCAGAGCATGATTTAAGGTAAATAAAGATCTCACTTCCAGAGTCCCCAAAATCAAAAAACTGGAAATTGGGAAGATCTCAACTATCAAAATTTTCAGCCTCCCTCGAATTTTCCCCCACTTCCTCAATACCCTCTCCACCACCGTACCAAAAATTCCTGCTGCTCGGTCAGCTCTTCCGCTCGATTAACACCTTCTTAAGCGGTTCCATCATTTTGTTTTCGGCGGCACCTTCCAACAAAAAAACCCAGGAACGCATTCTTCTAGAAGTAATCGAACAGGTGGCTGCACACCTTTTCCCGCATCCTTGTTTTTGTTATTGTATTAAAAAAGGATTACGGTATGTTAGTCTTAATTTCCCTTGCTAACCCCTTCAGACATTTGAATAGTTGATGTATCGAGAAGGATAACTCAGAAATCATTCATGTGTGTACATTTGGCTCCTCTCTCAGAAATGTTTGGGGAGAAAATGTTAAAGGGATGTCTCTTTCAATCTACTAAAGTAACCACTACTCCTTCTTTCTTTTCTTCGCCGAATTCTAATCAATTATTTAACGACGATTCAATTTATATAACTCCTCTTTTTGGAAGAAGAGGAGGGGGAGAAGGAGGAAGTGACTTGGACTTTGAAGCGGTATAGCTCAGTTGTGGGTAGAGCTGGTGGAAAACGATCAACTAGAAAGTTGTGTAAAATTAAAAACCAAACAAGTTTGTAGTTAATAATTTTTTGACATCTGTCCGGGTTTTGGAGATAAGAGCGGTTGAAATAAAGTCCCTGTGAACTGCCTCTACCCAAAACCGAGGTATAGCAGCTCAAATGTATGCACCTAGTGAGACTGTAATGAAGGGTAACAGACGGCTTAGAGTAAATCGGAACTCTTTAGATGGTTCAGGCTAAAAATATCGCTCAAAATTTGGAAAAAAGGCTTCTAAAAGGAATTTTCAGTGATAATCCATCTCTACAAGTGATTATCTTCCTCTTCTATTTCTCGAAATTTCGAAAACCCTTCATTATCCGCGACTTTTCAAAATATTCTCATTGGAGCACACTTTCCCTCGTCTCGACTTTTCTATTGTCACCTTTTGAAGCTTTGGGCGCCCCTACGCTTACTCGCCCTTTTCATCCCTCTATCACCAGCGGAAATCTCGCACGTACGGTACAGTGTCTGTGATTTGGGCTATCATTTTGCCAACCCGGGTTCGACTCCACCTGGGGTCAACTTTCTTTTTTTCTCATCGTTTCTCTTTTCCAGTTTAGAGCTTCCGTTTGGAAGGTATTAGTTTCTTAACATTTCCTTACACCCCCTCCCCTCCAATATAACTGTAACCTCTTTCCTGACAGCCGATTAAACCGCTAACCTTAGCCTCTCTCTTCCGCCACTTACAAAAACTTATTATAAATCAAGTAACAATACACCCCGACGTTTTCCGCTATTCGCCTTCTTCCCGTTCCCCTCTGATTACACCTTTTGGAACGGAGGGGTGTCTCAATTAACACTGAATAAAGAGACCATGCCTTTCAAGGTGACGGCCGAACACATAGCAGCTAACACACTGTTGTTTATGTTAGGATAGAGTAATTAAAGGGCAATGAAAAAGAAGGGGAAGGCAGTCAGCAGCACATTCCGATAATTATGCTGTGTGCTGCGCGAGATTTGAACACGTTAGCATCGGAAGGGGGGCGCGCGGTATATACGGTTACAATTATACCGGAGGAGGAGGTGGTGAAAAAGACAACAAGATTGATTTAGATGCCAGTGGAGGAGACTGGTTTGGGAGGGAGGGGTACTGTAAGTTTTGGATTACTGTAATATACTTAACTTATACTGCCGGTTCTTATCCTTGATACCACCCTTCTGATTTACAGCAAATTCTGTAATTCATGTACGTTGTATGTTTGGAGCAGCATATCTCGGTTGCCTTCAAAGCTATCAAAAAGTAGTCAACTAACGAAATGTTCAAAGGAACATTTTAAACATTTTACTTGTTGAAAATTTTTCGATAGCTATAAAGACAACTGAGATATTCTGCTCTTAACATAGCATACTTTCTGTGTCAGTGGCACTGATGGCCTAGTGGCTTTAAGTTTGGGCCCCCAGGTACCTAAAACCTTTTTTTTTTTTGTTTTCTCATCCCACCTAACCTGTCTGACCCACTTAAAATATTACCGTAATCCCTTGTCTCCGTTATCCCCTTGTAATCCACCCTCGCATATTTTAATTTGACCTACCTCTTCATCACCCCCCCCCCCCTCCTCTCTCCTGTACCAATTCTAATCCGACATGTATGAATAACACTTGAACTCTCTGTTGGAATGAATTTCTTCTTCCATTTGCTCGTGAAGAAAGTGTAGGAGTACTTGTGCACAAAACTCTACGGGGGAGGACTATGAATAAGTTTTGAGCAACCGGAACCTTCAATTTCCTATACTCTTCTCAAAAGGTGTTAAAGGACACATGAGATTCTTTGACAGGAAATTGGAAAAAGTCTTGTGAATCCTACGAATGACGATAAATGTTTTGGACTTATGCAGATGATAGAAAAGTCAAGAAAAAAATCGGAAATCTTCCCGGACGGATACAAAGGAAATTGAATTTTGGGGTAGACTTCTGAACCATCAGAAACCTTTTTTAGTATTTGAAAAAAGAAGAAAAAACAAATTTTGGCCCTAAGTGGAATTGAACTCGGGTAAGCAAAACGGTAATCTGGAGCGTAGGCACTGTACCGCACGCGCGATACTTGCATCGGTTTTAGAGGCGGTGATAAAAGGGCGAGGAGGTAGTCAGCAGAGGAGGTGGCGCCCTAAGCTTCAAAAAAGATCCAGAAATTTAGAAAAGTCGAGAGTGAGGAAAGTGCGCTCCAATGACAAAACTTCGAAAAATCGGTGTTTCGGCGGGAATTTTCATATTCTGAAATATAGAATGATTAGATAATCACCACAGAGGTCAAAATTTTGAATAAAATCGTCGAAAATCGACAAATTGAAGCACTCCATTCTCAAAATCCCTACTCCTTGTGAATTCGAAACCTTTTCAACTTCCCTAACCCCTTTTTCCAATAAAAAGGCTTACCTAGTCTCTATAATACAATCTAAATCGCCTTTGTTTCCTTTTCCAATAAATTTCTCTTCGGTGGAAGGTTTTTCAAATCTCTTTTCAACAATTCTCTTTCTCTCGAAACATGTCTCATACATAACCCGAGTTATAAGTGAAAGGGCGAAAAGGGAGGATAAGTACCAGATTTCTGTTGTGTGCCTCTTACCAGTTCTCTCTCCTCGGCCGACATCAAAACGATAATAAGTTTTATATAGACGTCGTGGATAGAGAATGGTCATATAATAACCCGTACCCGCTACTTTTCTCCTTTCTCTTTTAGGTTTACCTAGATTGGAGGAAAGGGATGAGGCATACTGTAATCACTTGACAAGTTTTTCGACGGAAATCCGATTGCTTAGAGAGAGAGAGACTGGTCTTTTGATGAACTTGGGTTGGAAGGGATTTCCGGTTGATCATTTGGGTTTGGATCGTTTTCAGACACCGTAATCTAAGAGGAAAAAAAAAGAAAAAAAGAAAAACCAGTGAAGGAGTTCGAACCCTTAACGCGGGACATGCCACAGCTTGAAGAGGAGGGGGTAGAGGTGCGCGCTGTTATCAGTCTGCTAGAGAGGGAGAGAAATCTGCAAAGACTGCGCCTTTAAATGATAGAAAGAGATTGCGCGGGGATTCAAATTTTGTGAAATTTTTTATAGAATTTTCCGGAAACTCAGCGAGTTTCAAGTCCTTTTCAGCGACCAAACCCCTCTACGAACATTTTTTTCTAGAAAAACTTCGTCATCATCATACAAATAAATTGAAAAATACCAAGAAGTCATTTAATAAGAAAAAGTAGAAGAAAGAGAAGACGATGAACCTATTATTTATATTAAGTGACTGACTTTGGCTCCTCATTTTCTTCATCATCTCCTCTCCATTTCTTCTATTTTCTCAGCTTATAATATGACAACTATAATAATTTCCTTCTTCTTGATGAAAGCTCTCCCCCCTTGGGTAATTATTATCGTCTTCGGCAGTTTTCTCCTTTCCGTGTAAATATTGTCTTCTGCTGAATTGGAAGACGTCAGGGGCAGCGGGCTCTTCATTTTATTTTTAGACATTTAGAAATTATAGGTTATTATATGCTGAGAAACCTGTGAGCCCTTGGATATTTGAATATCGTTCTCAAAAATTCAAATTCCCGCCAAAACATTTTCAAAAATGCTATTCTTCTTTCATGTTGCTCTTGCCCCTCCCCTGCGCAGCTATTCAATTGCCCCGCTTTCCTCTACCCCCTCTTTATCAGTTACTGCTGATGAACCATTGGCGCAGCGGATAGCGCGCCAGCTTTTTGATCTGGAGGTCCCGGGTTCGAACCCCACCACCAATTTTTTCTTTTTCCTTCTTTTTTCCCTTTTTGCTCATAGCTAGAATTATCAATAGAGCACATTTTCATCACAATTAGTACCCTCCCCCATGTTTTCTTATGCAACAATCTTTTGCCTTTCCTCCTCCCTCAAACAACTCAAGGTGAGGTAACCCAACCTCATCTGATGCTCTCATATTGCCACCCATCTTCTCGTCACTTCTTCTTTCCCCATCCCTCTACCTAGCCCTGGGGGAGATACCACTAGATGCCAGGAGACCCAAAGAAAACGAAGGGGGGACGCGGCGCCCTGATTACTGTAGATGTAGACTGCAGGAGGGGGGATTTGTCAATCCGATACGGTCCAATTCGGGGATAATTTACTCTCACTCCCCTAAGTAATTTGACAAGTGTGTGTATGTTTGTGAATGAGTGACAAGAAGAGAAAAGGAACACATGGGGAAGGAAAGTGGGAAGGAAGATTTTTATGACCCCCCGGATGCCATAAGGGGCTCCTAGATTGGATACTTAATTTTAGGACCAAGAACTAGGAGACGTTTTGCAGAAAGGAATTGGAATTCTGGAGGTAATCCAAAACTCTCTTTGGTTTATTTATCCAGGATGGGGGCTCCTTCTTGTAATTGAATAGGTAAACTTTTCTCTAGCCCCCTAGGTAAGGTACCTACCGTACCGGCCCCTTTGGGAGCCTGTTGAATAGCGAAACAAAAAAATCTGAGAAAAGGTTAAGAAGGCAGTCGGTTGTCTCTCAAAAGAATTAAGTACAAAAGAGAGGGCGGGAACCTGTAGGAGGAGGAGGGCAGGACCATCTGCCTTTGTTGTGCCTTTTCTTCAATTAACCAATTATAGCGAAGAAGAGCAGAGCGAAAAGCGTTTTGTGAAGATTGGTTTTTTGCTGGTGGGGTGCTCTTGGGGTATTTCTTATGGTTTTTGGGCAGTTTTTGGAAGACTTTAGGGCGGATTTTTTGAGATTTCATGGTCCTTTTTTTGGCTAAAGATGGCGTTTAGATGGTTTTGTATGGTTTTGACGGGTTTGAGGGCCAAATATAGGAATTTAGAGCTTTTATGTACCGTTTTCCGAGCAATTTTGATGTTTTCGAGCGATTTTCGAGTATTCGAGTAGGGTGTTGTGGGTTATAGTCGACTTCGGCCGGATTTATGCGGTTTTTGGGTTTTTTTGGTAGGTGAATCGGTAATGTTAAAGTATTTTGGCAGTTTTTAGTGGTTTTCTCATGGTTTAAAGCGATTACAAGTTAATTTTCAGTTAATTTTTTTTTTCAATTTTTTGAAAATCCACTCAATATTGCAGCTTGACCATTCTTGATCTCCAGAAAATTCCCTATTTTTCTGTCTAATTTTCACTCAATTCGGTCTATTTGGAACCTAATTAAGAGCCACCTAAGCTGCCAAATTCAGATTTTTGGGGTATCTTTCTCCACGCGTAAAAACCAAAATTTGCAGCTCCATTCATTTTTGATCTACCTAAAATTCCCTATGTTTTAGTCCAAATTTCATCAATTTTGGCATATTCAGAACTTCCAACTCTGGTGTCCTTCTATTAGAGTTTTCATAAAATGTTATGAATCTCCCTCAGCCTTACTTACCAAACTCTACTTTTTTCACACCTCACTAACTTCCTTTCCCTTGACTTTGCTGCTCTTCCTAAGAGCATCTTCTTTTATTTCTTCTTGCATCACCCAAAAATTGTCGTCGCGTCGTCGAAATGCCATCTTTTGTTTATGCACATTGTCTTCTTTCTGAATCTTCTCAGGTGACACTCTCTAACCGATTGGAGAGTTTTTCTTAACGATGGGAAAGGGGAGGATTGTTTATGTTGAGGTTAGGTAGAATTAAGAAATTTATTAGATTAGTTACCACTAGAACTTGTTTTTTCTGTTTTGAATACACTCGAAAAACACCTAAGCTCTCCTGTTATTCAGTCCCAAAAAAAATTTCGAAACCTTAAAGGCGCATCCTTTTCCCCATCTACTCATCCTTACCTAAGTGTAACTCTATACCCTAAAACCGATCAATCTTAGTATATGCCTTCCTTTATTTATATTTTTCACTTCTCCCCCCACCTCGGGACCATCCATCCTTCTAGGAGGAGTAGAAGGATGGGATGGGTAATTCGATAACACACCTGTTCATATAGAATTCAAATAAATCATCATCATCACCGAAGAGCTTCCTTAGGAAATGAAATGGGATGAGACAGTCATTTGACAAAAAGTAAACAGTTCAGATAGTGCGGAGCATGATTAGGGCTCAGTGAAAACCAGAAAATTGAAAATGTCATAGAGGGAATCGCGCTCTAATGAGAAAAAAGAAGACATTTGGAGAGCTTAGACGGTGACAAAAGAATAGTCGAAATAGATGGATTAGAAAAAAAAATTGTACTTATGAGACTCAGAACAGTCCGATTTCAGTAAAAAATGGCTGGATCGATCAGGAATTTTTCGAAGATTTCATACCTAAGTTTTAGACTCGATACCATAGAAGTCTGCCTGATTTAGGCCGAAACTCAGTGAATAACCTCTAAAATTTTCATGGTATATCCTATTTTTTCGGGTTTTTTACAGATTTCTAGTCCAAGAATGGCTAGAAATAGTCTGACTTGAGCTCAAGCTCTTTCTGGATTTCAGACACCAGATTCTTTAGAACATGGTTTCCTAGAAATCCAGAAAATTCCATTCTGACTTCTCGAGATTTCGAAAAATCTAAGATGTGGTTGAGACCCCTTCCCCCCAACAGTACTTCCAGAACTCCCAAAACTGTGATGTTCCGCCCCAAATACCCTCCTGTATATCCGGTCGACTGATCTTCTCTTTCTCTCTTCCAATTTATTTTCCCTCTTCCTAGATCTCCCAAATATCTCAATTAGTCACGCCTCTCCTTTTGCGCCTTTAACCGCCCTTGCACAGTCCCTCCCTCACAAGGTCATACGCTTTGTTTAGCTGCTCACACATTGAGACACCCTCCCTTTTGGCTTCCACCGATAAAGAGGGAGAGAGAGCATGGGTCTTACCTGTAGGTGGTTCTTTCAATCGGAAGCTAATCTCATGTGGAGGGAAGGACTGTCTATTGTGGAGGAAGAGGTACTGTAGATTTGGAAGGGGAGGGGGCGTTTCCTTTTGAGGGCAAGGGGGCAACAGATTTTTCTATTGTTTTGGGAGCAAGAGGGGTTTTTCTAAATACCTTATGCTGGATAAAGACGAAACTGTGGAAATTCGAAAGTAGCTTTTTTTTTTCGAAAATTCACACTGGTCTTCTGAAGTTGGGACCAGGAATCTATCAGACCAGGTTCTGTAGGAACTAGTTTTCTGACCAAAATCGATCAAAACTTAACTTTTAGGCCTAAGGTCTTATGGGCTAGACATCCTTCAGTACTAGTTATGACTTGTTGAGAGGATTCCTGAAATTTCAGGAATATTGAATTACAGCTTGTTCTATGGAACACTCATTCCAGGCTTAGTTTCGTAGTTTCTAGGTTTTTCCGGTTTTTTTTTCGAATTTATTCGTAAATGTTTAAATTTTTTGAAAACTTTTAGTACTCCTATTCCTCAGATATCTTGAATCTACAGTTTCCTCTAAGATTTGGATCATATTTTCTAGAATTTTCCAATTTTTTGAAATGTTTCTCAAGATTTCGAAGTTTTCATTTTTCCGATCACAGAGTTTCTTAGAAAATCTACCGTACCCCTAATTTCCTAGTTTCTCAAATTCTTAAAATCTACAGTACCATACCTCCACGTCATTTTATTTTTTTATTGGATACTGTCAATTTCTTTTGTTTTTGAACAGCGTCAAGGAAAACACATTAAGACAGGAGTCTCACTCGTGAATCATGCAAATGTTCTTCTACAATTCTCTTGAACGTTCCTTTTTTTATTGACAAAACATTGATCTTTAAAGATTGTTATAAATACTTTCCAAGGGGCGGGGTTCTTCGAAAATAAATTCATGAAAAATTCGATAATATTTTCTAGATTTTGAGGTGGTCCTGGTCACTTTCTGTAGCTGTAGTTCTCTAAAATGTCTTAGGAAGGCTAGGATTTTTTTCCGAGACTTCCAGAACTAAATTCTACAAGCATTCACTAGTTTTCTTGAAGATCATTTAGAAATTTCTCGAAATCGAATTTTGTAAATTTTAGGTCCAGAAACAGTAAAAATTCGAAGTTTTCCAATTCGACCCTTTTCGGAAATCTCATTTACATGCAATTTTTGAGCTGTTTTTGAGCATTTTTAGGCCAGTGTTCAATTTACGGTTTGCCATTTTAACAGATTCCTTATGAAATTATGAGCTTTTCGGGCTCAAAAACCTTCATTGACGAGCCATTTTTTGAGCAGTTTTTGTTTGTTTTTTTTTTCGATTTGAGAGTCATTCTTGACAGATTGCTTAGAAAAATCAGAGTTTCTGGACCGAAGACTCTTCAAAATCTCTTGGAAGCTCTCATTTTCAGGCTTTTCTACCCTGAAATCCCATATTTTCCTCTCAAGAATTTTTCAGTTTTCTAAGATCTTCCCCTAGTTTCTAAGACTTACCGGACCATCCTCTGAGACGGTGGCTCTTCCAAAAACTCCAGAATACTCTTCCCATTTATCCCATCCCATTTCTCAGTACTCCAACATGTCCAATCGGAAGGTTTCCTAAGACTCCGCCCCTTTTCACTCTTTTCCATCTCTCTCTCTTCTTTTACATCATCATCATCTACACCTTCTTCTTCTCCTTAGACCACGCCCATCACCTTTTCTGATGTGGGGGCCGCCCCTCTCTTGGAAGGAGGAGAGTGAAGAGATGAATATGTATAACTACTTTTATGATTTGAGAGATGAAGGTAGTGGTATTGTATTATATATCCACTCTACTTCTTCCCGATTTTCAAAAAATTTTTGGGGCTTTTGGGGGTTTTGGGTCTGAGTTTGAGAGGTTCTAGGGTATAGGGGTAAGATGTCTAAGGTACCTGAAGTAACTTAGATGCTCAAGACGTCTCGGGTGTCTCA